AGTAAATTCATTGACTCCATAGGTGAAAAATGGTTGTATATGGAAAGCTAATTAACAGTCCTTGTTAACTTTGTGTTCTGAACTTTGGAGCAGTGGAGGGTACCTTCTTCACCTGTCACCTCCCCAGGAAACCACGCTAGGCTGGCCCAAGAAATACAGATCCATATGAGCATAAGCACACAGCAGATGGTCCTGCTAATTAGTGTGAAACAATCTTGCTATGTAGATAATCTTGCAGTCTCTCCTTGCATGCTTAAAACTGATGGAGTGTATGAGTTTGAAAAAATCTGGTCTTAGTTGATGAATCGTTATTTAGTTTTGTTACCTAAGATGGTGGTAGCAATCTCGTCAAGCAGTCTTTGTTCTGGATCTTTCTCTTAAGCACTTTTTCTCTCCACCCTCTTCTTTTTCAATAAGGCTGCTTCACTGATCCACCCCAAAGAGATCCCTCCAGAGGCCATCCTGCTGGCTGTGTATCTTGAATTGCAGAACGGTAAGCTGGGAGATGTTCCTGCAACCTGAGTCTGGGATACAAAGGGAGGAGGGCAGCAGTCATCACTCCTACCCTCTAGAGAGAGTTGTGCCAGTATTTTGAGCAATACCCTTTAGGCCTCCATCTTACAGTGCTGTGGATCCATGTATGTGAACCTTTACTTCCACAGTTCATTTGCATCCTATTCTTACACATTCCAGACCTCCTAAACATTCATTTCCTGAGCTGAAGTTTTCTGTCTTGGTGCAGAAGTCAGAAGTCTTGGATAGGCTCAGTAAAACCCTTGATGAAGTTTCTACTATAAAGAGGGTTTGAAAAGCTTTCTCCATTAAAGGGCAACAAATCCAGGTTTCCCAAAGAAGTTGTGTCAAGGCTTGTGTAGCAAGTATGGCAGCAAAGCTTGTACTACTGATAACTTTCTCTTCCACATTGCTTTCCTTTAAAGGTTCACTTCATTGGTAGGAGGAGAAAGCTCTAGGTAATGGGAAACTGGAAAGGTTGCACTTGGATTCTGCAGGGTGAGCAGACTGGTGCAGCTGCTGCTTGAACCTCTCATGGTTTCAGATCTGTGCCCCTTGGGGGACACTTCATTGCCAAGTGTTGTGAAATGTTCTGTGTGCCTGTTCCCCTTCAGTGATGTTGCACTGCAGGCAGGCAGAGGATTTGAGCATTTGCATTTAGAATTGAGACTTCTGCTTTTCTTACAAAGATGTTTCTGAATTGGAATTGTGGAAACCTTTATTTCTGCAACAAAGATGTACAGAACAGAAGAGATTCAAAAGTGGGGTTTATATCCCTCACTGTCTTCTAAGTACATGACTTAGATGCTAAAGACATTTTTTGTTCTATAAAGACAACAAAATGGTGCCTCTCTTCTGAAACAACTTCAGGGAAAGAAAATTATGAGGGAGAAATACTCTCCTCACAACTCAGTGCCTTTTCTCCTGTAATTTTACAAGTTTAATTTTTAACAAAGAGTAAGTTTTCCATGTCTGGTGGTAGTTGTTTGATGGACCATACATACAGTTGAAAATCAGATTTCTTCTTTTAAAAACATCTTTTATTCCGTTGGCATTTGCATTACTGTCTGCAGTGTCACAATGTGAATGCATTTTGTGTGAGAGCTAGAGCCTCACTGTGCAGCTGGGAGAGAGAAGAGGTGACCTTTGGGAAATTAGAAGGTGCTTTGGCATCTTCTAGCTCTGAGGTAAAAGCTTGATGTCTTCAGCTAAGAATAGGTACTCAATCAAAACTAATTTTTTTCAAATTTCCTGTTGTCTACTGCTTTTCCTATCTGTGCCAGCATTTCACTGGAGAGGAAGGAGTGCTGCTGTACCTGGCCTGGGCCCAGGGCTGGCTCATCAGCTCTGTCCCTGAACAGTAATTCATATGTCATTAAATGGTATTTTGGGTTTTTTAATTGAAACTTGTCTTGTAGGTAACACGCAGCTGGCACTGCAGATCATCAAGAGGAACCAGCTGCTCCCTTCTGTGAAAACACTCTCTGACATGAGGAAAAAGCCTGTTTTCCAGCCAGTCCACTCCATCCAGCCCATTCAGATGCCAGCTTTCACCACTGTTCAAAGGAAGTGAGGTTGTGCTTGAACTTGCTGCTGCCCTGGTCAGGGGGGCTTGGGATTTTGTATATTTTTTTTAACCTAGGACACCTGAATACCCCAATTGCTGGAGTGTGTTTATGTAAATTTTTAATAAAAAGATGTAAACCAAAAGACTTGTTTGTAAAGGTTATTTCATGAATGAGGGGAGGTTAGTACCTGCTTTGAATGGGAATGGCAGTTTATTTACCCCCAAAAAAATATTATCCAAGTGTGTGATGCAGCTCTTTTTGAAGAGAATAGAGGGTAGAGCAGTGAGTGGAGAAAACCATTTACCTGAAGTAAAGTCCTCCTGAAGGAGCAGTTGAGCTGTTGTGTTGGCTGTTGTTTTGACACATGTAAGTCATGCTCTTCCTCAACAAAGAGAGAACCTGTTGGCTTTTTTTTTTCCTTTGTGTTTTTTTTTCTCCTGTCTCCCTGCTTCTCCTTTGCCCAACAGAATGGTGTAATGGTGCAGCTATGGAGGAAGCAGGGATCTGGTTATAAGAAAAAGGCTGGGTTTGGGGTGGTTTTTTGTAGGTTTTTCTTGTGGATTTTTTGGTGGGGAGAAGGGTGGGTGGGGGGTTTGGGTGTTTTTTTATGGGGTTTTTGGGTTTTCTTTGGGGTTGGGGCAAATTGTGGCAGTGTTCTAATCTAGTTTCCAATGTAGAGGAATACCTCGTTCTTTAACAACAAAAAAAATTGCCTTTTACTCAAAGGAAGATGGAGCACAATCAAGGACCCTCTGGTTACTTACTGTGAGCACAGGAGGGGAGGAGAGGCATAAGATAATTGGAGCCCAGCACTCCTCTCACAGTCCCTCCAGGGCTGGTTTGTGCCATTTCAGCTATCCTGATAATCTCCAGGGCAGAGCTGAGCTACCACCTTATCTCCTGTGCTGCTGGCATTGTACTTTGCCTCCAGCCAGCAGCAAGAGGTCCCTTCTCCCAGCAGCACCTTGGATCCGGGGCTGCCCCTTCTGCTCTCAGGACTGTGAGGATGAGGGAATGCAGATGTGTCCAGGAGAGGAAGGCACAGCAGGATTTGTATCCATCATCTGGGAGAAACCAGCGGCCAGAAACAGCACAGCAAGTGTATTCAACAACGTGCAAGTTGTGGAGTGAGCACAGCTGTGTCTCCAGCAGAAGCAGGACAGAGCGGGCTTGAGACCTGCTAACTCCGACTCGTGTCAGGTTTTCAATCCTTTCAGAGTACAACCCAGTAGCTGCCTTTCTCAGGAACTTTTCTATCACTGAAACGCACCCTTGTCCTCAGGTAGGGGCAAGGAGTTTGGAATCACTAGGAATAAAAAAAGTATCAGGCGTAAGTTGGTAGCGATCACCTTTCTGAACGAGACAAGAAAGGGAGCTGATAGATCTTTTACCTCCGAGTAGATTGACTGATTAAATACAAAAAGGTTCAAGATGCTCCCTGTGTGGTCCCGGGCCCTGAATAGAGAAGATTCTTCCCCGCCCCCCCAGGAATGCGGGGCATTCACATGCAAAAGATGCTCTGGCCGTGCCCGGGCTCGGTGAGGGATGCAGTTGTTTCCCAGATAAGGCACATCTTATCGCAGCCCCCGGCCCGCTGCCCTGCGGCGCCTCAGCCCCCACAGAGGGATGGACGGCTCCCAGCTTTCTGCGCTTGCTGTTAACAGAAAGGAAAAAAATAAATACTGTAACACATCAAGGCGGCAGCAGCCAAGGACCTGGCTTCTCCCTTCAATCCTTTTAATCTCTGGTAGGAAAGAAAGGAAGGTCAAGTAAAACGGTGAGGTGTCCTTGGGTAGGGAAACGGGGAGCGTGGCCTAAGGCAGTAAACCCAGCAATGCTCAGCAGTTTGCTCTGGGCCCCTTCCTGAAGGAAAGGGTGCCTGTCCCTCTCCCCGCTCTCCCGTTACCTCCAGGATGCCCCTGCAGCAGCACACTGGCTCGCATTCCCACAGCAGGAGAAAGGGGGTGCACTCCCTTCTCCCCTGCACACACCACAAGCCTTGCTGCTGCCTCAGGACTGCTCCTGCACCGTGTGCCTGTGGCTGCTGCCGCCTCTCCCGTCAGCACCTTTAGCCCCGCTGCAAGGAGGGGACAGCACTCACCCAGCAGTGTCCTGAGCTGTCTCCTGGTGTTCAGGGAGCTTTTGGGTTCCAGTTGTCTTCAGGAAAAGGAGCCAAGAATAACGCAGAAAGCTGCACAAATGCACCTGGGCAGCCTCGGTCCCTGCCCCCACAGGGCCTTCTCCCTCCCTCCCTCTTGAAGGGATCTCTGTCCTCCTGACATGTTGGCAGCTGCCCCAGCAGGAGGAAAGCAGTGACCTGGTGAAGGATTTTGATGAATGGTGCTGAGAGCCCTACAGTTGTACAGGCCCAGAAGGCAGCTTGGCTTTGAAAAGCTAAAGCAGCCAGCACGCCCAGAGCCTGGAATCCACCTCCACTGCTGGGAATTCAGTCAGTGGCTTTAATTCTCAAACCTCACTTGAAAAGCATCTTCCTATGCTCACCATTTCTTCTCAAACCTTTTCCAAGGTAGTGAGGAAAAATGGCAGCTTTCCACTAACCCAAAATTTGTTGACAGGCTGCCCTGTAAGATGCCAGAGAAACTTATTAAATGTTCTGGTGGCTTTGCTTTAACTGCCATGCAGAAGAAACATTCTTTCAGTGGCCAAGGTCAAGGAAAGGAAACCTAGAAATGGACCTAAAAACGTTAAACCAGAAACTTTCCAGCAAAATATTGGGAAAAAAGGATGGAGTTGGAAGCAGTGAGTTCAATATAACAATTCTCTTCTCCAGTCATGACAATGAGGGCTTTTTCTAATAAGACAGACAACTAGGAGGGGCCTTTTCTTTTTTACATCCCGATAGAAGAGAAGGCTTTTTCTGGGTGGTACAGAAACACACATGCACACAGAGCTGCCGTGAAAAAAACCTCACATTTATTTGATTAAACAAAAATAAAATAAACTGCATAGGAACATTTTAAAGTCCAGAGAGACACTGACTTTGTTTTAAGGCTGCCAGTAGCTGATACATCGTCTCCTTGCTACATCCTTCAGCCTTCCCTATGGACCACAAAGATACATTCAGAAGCCTCCATTAACACAAGATTTCTAACATTTTGTTCACTTATTCTACTTAAAAGTTTGCACATAACCTGTCATGCTTTCTTCTCTGCAGTACTCAACATCTGACAAGTAAATATTGTATCACTTTTTGTCCAAGTAGAAATGTGATGCCCTTTTTGGAGCACGGCAATTTTTGTCACAGCCTGACTCATTTTCAATTAGATATAAAAGCTCTGAGCAGCTCATTAAAAGCAGAGCACTGTCTGACCTCCTGAGATATTTTATTATTATTAGGAGAGCAGCATGATTAGTTACTAAAGTAGAAAAGAAATAACACAAGAGGAAACTAAGAAATCAAACCAACTCAAGATGCCCAACATCCAAAGAATGACAAGATCAGCCTGGATCCCAGTGCAAACCTGCACTGAGGCAATGCTACTCATAAATCAGTAGTGAAAATTTTGTAAGATGGGGCATACATCTACAGCCAATTAAGGGTGTGGGGGAGAGGGGAAAAAAGCACTTGTTTGACATTGGTTTCATGGGGCTGAGCTTCATTTTGTTCAAGGCTTGCAACTTCTATTTGAGTTAAATTGCAGGCATGTGTTTCACACCCTCAACTCCTCCAAGGACCTGTGCACAAAGTGAGCAGGGCATGACAGGTAATGCACAGTACAAACAAGAGTCACAGAAACCCCCACCAACTCAGGTGACTAAGCAAACCTTACAAACTAGTTAAAAACCTCTTAGTCATTTTAGAGAAAAAACAAAACAAAACAAAAACCACTAAAAAAACCCCTCAGAAACAGGCATCTCTCCCTCTGAAGGAAAATCTACTACATTGTCTGAAAAGTACTCTACAAACCTATAAAAGGACTTTTTTTTAACTAGTCTGGTAGTTCAAAAGGAAGTTACTTAACTACATCAGTACACAGACACTTAACATTCAGTCAGTAAGGCTCTATGAAAGAGCTTAAAAAATTATCTACCTGAGTTTGTAAGTTGATACAATCATTAATAGAAGGTCTAAGACCATGCAGGTACACAAAGCATTTTTAGAACCATTATTGGTTGAACAATGATGGAAAAAGATGCCAGTCTGGCTTGTTAACCCGTAAGATCACTTAGAGACATCAATGTACATTTCCCACCATAACATTTACCAAACCAAACACAGCCTATTGTTATTAGGGGTCTCCTGTACCCACTTCTGCCACCCCTTAATATGAGCTGGGGAGGAAAAAGGACGACTTTTTCCTCCAACAGAGTAGTCTGAAAATATGCTTCTGCAACTTAACTCCACAGGTAAAACGGGGTACGTTGCACATCACTACTTAACTTGCCTAAAACCCCAAGACACTGGTTTTAAACTGCCTCTCTTGAGTATGTCTGAACCTAAGCTGCCCTCCAGGAATAGGAACTTGATTGCTTTGTCATGGTGGAAAAAATCCCATTGAGTCAAGCAAGCTACTAATACAATCACCAAGTCAATAAAATAAAAAAACCAGGACCTTATTCCCTTCAATCATTTGGTATAGCATTGTGTTTACAGCAATCATAACACCAGTCCTCCCAAACAGGACACATTGGTAGGCATGCATAAAAGTTTTTGTCTTGTAGAGAGAAGACCTAAAGGTCTTAAGGACATAAGAACACTGCAAATGAACATGAAGGATGTCAAGTCAGCCAGTAGTGTCATAATACTGAACAGAAGTTTACACTTCCATACCTCGTAGTGAAACCAGAAAAAACTTGGAAGCTTTTCAGGTCTCAGTCCAGTTTGCCTGAACATTTGGTTTTATTTACAGATTCTCTAGCAAGGGCAGCTTAATATCTCCATAGGCAGGCAGCAAAAACAAAAGCAAACAAAAGCAAGCAGTCACCACATAGTACACACTTAGTATCTCTGTTTCAATTTAAATGCTTTTCCAACAGGCAGGATGAATCCTTCCCCCAGGCAGATTCTCAACTATTTCCCAAACCTGTCTGATGCTAAATTGAGGTAGATGATTTACTTCTGCAAAGTGAGGTAGAACTTCAAGCAAAAGATAGTGGCATCTCTAGTTGTGCATTTTGTACCACAGCAAACTGGGTTTCCAACTCCCAAGGACTCAAAGACCAAAGGTACAATATTTGTCTAACTCAAGTACCAGTGTTCCTTTTTTATACAGTTCCAAACTGTTTCTCTAAATATCTCTACTTTTAAATACCCTATTACCTTTTGGCACCATTTGGCTTACACTCCTTTAAAAAATAAACAAAACTTTGGCACAATATTTTTTTTTAAACTAAAACTGAACAAAGAAATCTTATGATCAAAGTTATGGCAAGATGAGTCTATAAACCTGCTCTCTTCAGAAATCAATTTTGGTTTAACTGTAACATAATGGACTGGGCCTACTTTCCTTCAATTCCAAGGGAATGCCACATCCAAGTGACCTGTTCTTTCTCCCAGGCTGGTTATGTCTGGCCCTAACATGCATTAGTTTTCAGGTGTCATCTTCCTTTCCTTGCTTTCTGTAAAGTTTCAGGTTTATGGGCCTCCTTAAATAAGTTATATTTAAAATGTACTAAATCAAAAGGAGCAAGTTATGTGAAGGACCTGCACTATTAAGTACTGAATCTGCTTCAGTTTGCTACTAAAGTTCCTGCTTAAATATTCTGAGAAAAGGACAAGATTGCTTTATATGCTGAGCACCCAAACCAGCCACACTGATTGCTGATAACATTTTGTCAAGCAAAAGGTTTACAGAGAGCCACTGATTTAACCTGGCAGAGAGAAAATCCTTTGGGAGTTCGAGTAGACAGCTCTGTCCCTCACATTTGCTGTTCCCCAACGAGGAGGCACACGCTCACTTTACCCTTCTCCAGGCCATTTCCCCTAGTTAAGGTTACTCTGAATGCTTGTTTGGTTTGCAATCCAGCTTCCAAGCCTTGTTTTTCCTCTCTGCATGCATGGACATTATGATACTGGGGCATTAACCTGAGAACATGCATGGAAAAGCAGAGCAAGGTTGGAACCTCATTTATTACTTTTTAGTAAGTCTCTACGGGGCATCTGATGTTGGCATTGTATATTAGCACTACTTTTTTTCATTGCATATAAAACACTCCATTTTATAAGCTACACTATCACTTTTCAATGAGACCAAGTGTGCTTAGCACGATCTATCACAAAGATAAGGAATTCTTTTGGGTAGCTAAATAGTAGTGTTTTTAAAACGAAAAAGCTCCCCAACAACATGAGGTCAAACACTCAAGGTTCGGTTTGCAAGCAAATCCCACTGAGTTAAATAGACAGCAACTTAGAAAGAGTTTAAGTCACGCCTCTTCCTGACTGAGCTGGGCTGGGGGGTTGTGCAATGGCTCCATTCAAAAAGCAAAGGGCAACTTCAGTGTCTGTCACCTTCCACACGGTGCAGGCTGTGGGGGCAAAATGTTCCTCCAGTTCAACACAATCCCGACTGCACACTTACTTTCTTTTCTTTTTTTCTTTTTTTCTTTTTTTTCTTTTTTTTTTAATGCCTGGAAAAACAACTCCCTTCTAGCCACAGAGAAGGGCAAACCCCACAAGCATTTAAGCACAAGAGCATTTCTAGGACACTTCAACACTGTCAGCCACTCTGGTCAAAGTATTTAGAGACCTGGCATCTTCATTAAGACATGACAGGATAAATGCAAGGACACTGCAAACTTTAAAATTAAAGCTTTTTAAACCACTATTCTTTGGTATCTGGATCTTGCAGGCTATTAGTTTTCACAGCCCAAGTTGCAAATAATTCTTGGGCTGAACAACACAAGACAACTATGGACATCTGTCACAACTGTAGGCCAACCCCAAGAAGGGAGGCATGCACACAGGCAGAACTTGCAGAACTTGAAGTTAAACTAGCTCTCTCTGATACATGTTTTGTGTGGCCACAGAAATTTAATGACAGACACCTGTATAAAAAATTATCCTTTCAAGACTGTTTTTAAACCATGCTATCCTAAGATTAAGCCTAACTGAAACACACTGCTTTGAAGAGTTTGCTTCCTTCAGGCTTTGGCTGAAAGGCAGCACAGTTGTTTTATCCCATTTAATTTAGGTGGTTTTCCTCATCCTTCTTTTGAAAGAGGTTTTGCCATCTCACGAATCTCTCTTGTCTTTTTCTGGTCCTTTAGTTTAAGCCTCCTCTAAAGTGGCAGCTCTCTCTGTCTGCACACATCATTGGTATTTCTAGGAAACTCAGAAAGTTTACACTCCTTGGAGGGGAAAAGCAGCAAGAAGGAAAGTGCACCTCGTGATTTCTCACAAACTTCTAAAGAGCCTTTCAACCTCAGGTCACTTTTGTGCATGGTGGCTGGCAGAGAGATGAACCCTTTCCTTGCAGGATGGTTAAGGCTCTTCAGACTTTTTGACATTTACATTTCAAAGATCATCTCTTGCAAACAGTAAGATAAATCCCATGGCATTTCCAAACTCAAGAGTAATGACAGTCAGTTTTCTCACTGCAGAGAGCAAGAAGAGCCCTCTGTTGCCCACTTTGAACAATTCTTGTTTGCCAACACCAGAGGGTGAAGCTGCAGGTCTGTAGAGACCATATCTGCTTGAACAGCTAAACTGGAATGCAGGAAATTGAAGAATAAAACTAAATCCTTCCAGGGACTCAAAGTCACATTTTGCTAAAGAGATCTCTATTCTCCCCAAAAGTTTCTGCTTCTCAGAACACCAGTTTCTATATCCCCGAAAGGGCAAACTTCCCTCTGCCTCCAGGCTTTTAAGGATCATATACATTAATTTTACACAGAAGTCTTTGGTACTGCCCTGGGAAAAAAGCAGCAAAGTTTCACCTTGATGCAGTTTGCCTTTAGCTGGTACTGGTAACTCTTCACTTGGATCTGCAGCCAGAGATCCTGCAGCAGGGAGCTCCAGGCCCACCCCACCCACCCTAAAAGCTACAGTACTATTCCCAAAATCTTCAGTCCAACTCTCTGGGGAAGCCAGAAGATTAAAAAAATAATAATAATAATTAATCAGTGGTAGAGTTATTGCAATCCTCTCTGAACAAAAAACCCCAAAACAAAACAACTTTTGACTTCTCCAAATCACACCCTGAATCTCCAAAGCTGTGCTTATTTCTTACTTTTGGAAAAAGGTACCACTTCTAACAAATTCAAACATTATTCCCTTAAGGTTTCGCTATGGGAAGAGGCAAAATACGCTAAGTCATTTCACAAGAAAGTAAATCAAAAGGGTTTGATTTTTCCCTGTTTCAATGCCCCTTCTAACCTCTTCTGTTACCTAGATTAGGGGCACTGATAAAAATAAACAGTAACTTTTTTCAAACTAATTTAGCTTTCAGGTGAAAAGAGGTAAAAATGAAATTCTTAATGACAGGATACACTAAAGGAAGCCTTGCTTTTCATCTAAACTTTACAATGACCGCACTAAGCCACTAAAATGAACAATTTGGTTTAAACTTAAAGAATTTTTGTGCATTTTCATCAGCTTCACTTTGTGCTGTTAAATTACTGTGTTTCAGTAAAAAAATACACAGAAATGCCAAAAAAGATACAAACTTGCTCTTCCTGGCAAGCGAATCTCACTTTCATAAAACGTTCAAAGTTGTCTGGGAACAAGATGCTGTGCTTGCCAGTAAATCAAACACACTGAGGTATAAAAAGGAGAACAGGAAAAAGTTCTCTGCTGCAGCAGCAATGAAAAAAACAAAACAAAACAAAACCAAAACCAACAACAAATGTCCCTCCCCTCCCATGTCCCCACCCACAGAACTGCAGAATGGTCAAGAACACAAATTCTCTACAAACATCTACTACCATTTTCTCCATTTAAAAAGTTACATAGCGCCTTTCTTGGCTTAGTCTAACAGAACTCACCACACAAACCACCTAATGTGCACAGCAATTCTTGTTTGTGCATGAAACCCCATCTGGGGGAAAGAGGTAAAACGTTCTGAACTATGAGTATGTGGGGATGAGAAATCGGTGAGAAATGGGGGAGGGAAGGGAGGACAATGAGGTAGATAGAATTCAATTTTACAGGCTCACTCCCTGCAGAAAAGGTAAGTACATTCATCTGTAAAAAAATTAAAGATGAGGTAGGTTTGAATTAACGTTGTATTTTTTCATTTTCTCTTAGAAGAATTTCCCTGAGACAGTTTCTTCCTAATTCAAACACAGATTAGAAGACGAGAATTCGATTGTTTCCGAAGTCGACCACAACGATCATGCCATCAGGGGTGACAGCTATACCTGAAGGACGGTCCATCTGGCCAAAGCCGCTTCCCTGAGTGCCAAACTTGCATAAAAAGCTACCATTGGACTCGAATATCTGCACCCGGTGGTTCCTGGAGTCGGCCACGATGATGCGCCCTTCCTGATCCACCGCCACTCCCTGCGGGCGCAGGAACTGCCCGTTGCCGGTGCCCTCGGAGCCCAGGAAGCGCGCCGACTGGCAATCCGGATGGATGACCAAGAGGCGATGGTTGTTGAAGTCCGTCACTACCAAGTGGCCCTCGTGATTGAACGTCACACCTCTGGGGGAATCAAAGTGCTTCCAGAGTACCCCTTCGAAGCCGTACTTGTTCAGGAACACGCCGTCGGGCCCGAACAGCTGAACGCGATGGTTCCTCGTGTCAGAGACCAGGATCTTGCCCTCTGCGTTGACGGCCACATCCCATGGGTAATTGAACTGCCCGTTCTTTGTTCCTTTCTCCCCGAACTTCAGAATGAACTGCCCCTCGAACGTGAAGATCTGGATGCGATGATTGTCCTTGTCGGCCACGACGATCCTCCGCGAAACGTCACAGGCCACGCCGGCGGGGCGATCGAACTGGCCCGGCCGGGAGCCCAGTGTGCCAAACTTGTGATGGAAGGTCCCGCACGGCTTGAACACCTGGATGCGGTTGTTGCTGCGGTCGGCAACGATGATGAAGCCTTCTTTGTCGACGCTGACCCCCCAGGGGCGGCAGAGCTTGCCGTCGCTGTCTCCCTCGCTGCCGAAGGACAGCCCTGGCAGCCCGATGCCGATGTAGCTGCGCCCCGACTTCACCATCACTTTGAAGGGGCTGTTCTCGATGTGCTGGTTGCACATCATCACGGACACCAGGTGCTCTCCCTCCAGCTGGGGACGGTAGCTGACCAGGTAGGTCCCGTTCTGCTGATCGCTGACGTCCGCCCCGAAAAGGTTTCCATCCGGGCCCATGACCACGGCAGAGATCATGTCACCCCCGGAAAGGCGAGGCTCCCCGTCGTGGTCGTAGCCGATCACGGTGAACGAGGCCAACTTGCCCTGCAGCGCACGCTTGAGGCCTTCCCCCGTGGCTTTGGTCAAGGGAGCAAAAGCCCCGCTGCTGACAAAGCCCATGGATTTAATGGCCATATACAATGCCTGGTCAGGGGGGGTGAACATGATCCTGTCGTCTTCCTGTGGCTGGAGAAGGCCTCTGACGTTCTTCAGCTCCTGCACCTGAGCCAGCATGCGGTCCCGAGCCAGAAGAATATCCAGGGTACGACCCTCCTCCAGGACCTGCTGAACAGCACTGATGGTGTTATCCAGCTTGTTTAGGTTCTGACGTAACTTTTCAACTTGCAAGTAGAGTGACTTGGCCTTGACTTGGCGAATCTTTTCCACCTTGTGGGAAATGGGGGAGAGAAAAGCACACTTCCATCAGGAAAGACAGACTACAACACAGATTTACGTCCGTCTCCCTTCTACAAAAAAGCCGGTTGGACAGTTGTTATAGCATGCTGACAAACAGCTGCAGAACAAACCTCTAAAAACCACAATGTAGACAAGAAGAAACAAGGAAAACTAATTACTTATCCAAATTTAGGATTACTAGTCTCTCCTACCCTCCAGGCAACACCATACATTCCTACTCTGCAGATCTGCTTCATCAGAGTGACATTTGAAAGCCAGAATCACTTGCTTACCAGTAATTATTTGCTTCCTCAAATGCTATTCTGTTTTCTAGTTGCAAGGTACTTGACAGATCATCCAAAGGAACACCTCACTCCGCCCCCAGGGAGGACAGAAGTTATTGCCACCTCTCCAGAACAGCAGAGGCTGAGGCTTCACAAACCACAGCTGAGACCAATTTCATAAAGCAGGTTGTCCCACAGAGCTCAGGCTGGGAGTCAGCATCAGCTAATGCACGTGGGCTCCTGTCATTCCTGCCTGCCAGAACTCTTCTCATGGGACTGGATAATACCAGACATCTATCTCCAGGGATTTTTAGGGTCCAATTATTTTAATATTTTCTTGTAAATACTGGCAGTCATGCTGAGCTTGTGCTTTTAAAACAGGATGTTTTGTGAATGTCACTTCAAATAACACAGAAGGTTGCTGCCAGTTCCTGCTTGAGGGACTGAAGTTGGTGCAAAAATGCCTGTTTTGTAACTCAACTATATAAGCCTGTGTCTATCCTTACTTGTGAAAAACCACTTTGGACCATCTGGCAAAGACACCTGCTTCATAAAACTAATGTAACATGTCTTTGTTTTATTGTTGCAAAAGTACACTTCCCGTTGTCTGAATACTTGCTTGGCCTCAGAACAGTATCTGGAATGCATTTTAGTGAAGGAAGACTCAATATCTGAAGACTTCTTGGTTAGACACTGACTAGGTAACATATGTACAAACATGCTATAAACTGAGATATGTAGGTTTTACCAAGCTGTAAAAAAAATCTGGAGATGCTTCTTCCAATAGTTGTCCAAGACAAATTACTGATTTTAGGTCTCAGCTTAATCCTTAGATTCAGCGCTGGTATACAAAATTGTTTATTAGCATGCTTGATACAAGAGCTTGATATACTGAGTTTGTTTTGCTAAAATCATTTACTACCACCATGTTTCCTTAAAAGAATGTTTTCTGACTTGAAGAGAACTTGCTCTCAGTGCAGATGTTCCAACAAAGTGCATTTGTACAGCATAGTAGGATAAAAAGAGCTCAGGGGCAGATCTTACTCCTCCTGTACTAGGAATACCTTAAAAGATAAAGCTGCCAAGCTTCCTGCAGAAGGTTAACAGTGAAAAGTGAACTCATCGCCCTCAATCCAAAACCTCAAAAAAGCAGCATTCAAAGTACACTAACTATATAAAGTGCAATTTTAATCTTGCTATTGACACTTAAAAAGAAAACAAAGCTTCTCTTGCAGGGGACCATGACCACTGAATTACTCCTCTGGAAAAAGAAACGTGCCTGTTACTTCCTTTCCTCCTCGTGAAATACCACGCTTCCATTGTTGAGCTGAAATGAGCCCCATCAGTTCAGAATTGTGCAGATACGCTTTTTCTTGTACTAGTTCAAAAAAATTACTTAGAGGGAGGATGCTACCTTGATTGACAGTAAAGGTCTTTAAGGATGGGTACAGTGAAGGTTGGTCTCTCAGAACTTTTACTAGCCTCTAGTAAAGGACAGGACAGGATAGGATATACAGCTTTGCTCCTGTCCTTTATGAGGAGTGGATGAGAAAACCAATTATAGTATGTATCCAACTCTAGAGCAGCCCACTGAAGGCATTTTGAGGACACTGTTTAGAGGGGATCTCCCCTGGGGCAGCGGCAGGGCCAGCAGGGGGAGTGCCCAGCCCGCGCCTGGGGCTGCGCTGCTGCCGGGACCCAGCAGCCCCTGCAAAACCCCTCCAGCGGCTCCGGTTAAGGAAACCTGCAGCTCTCCTTGGGTATCAGAATCTGGCTGTGTAACAGTTTGAGTAGTTTTTCAGTTTGAAAAGCACCTGTCAGCAGTACAACCCAGAAGTGTAAGGATGCATACCTTCCAGAGCAGCTCACACTCCCGCTCTTCCAAGGCCTTCTTGTGTCTGGTGGTCACTACTTTGACTTCAGACTGCACCACCTTCGCTTTCATCTCCACTTGCTCTGCCACAGCCTGGGCCTGTTCAATACTCAGCTGGGGAAAAAAAGATACACACTTAGGGCTTGACCAAACTAATTAAAAATACATCAGAGGACTGCTGCTTACATTTTACATTACATGCTACGCCTTCAGGTAAAGGCATAAAGTGACAACTCTTCGTTTCTTACTGGGCCTTCTCCACCCATTTCATACACTGCAGCCTAAAATCTGTCAGGATTGTTTAAATACATCCATCACATGGAGTTTACCTTCATTGTGCCTTGCACCAACACCATAGCACTAAATTCCCTGTGCAATTGCAGCAAGCAGCTAATACGGTGAACAAGAGACTTGCACAGAACTTCATAATCATGTTTTCTGCCATGTAAAGAACCCAGTTTTTCTCAAAATGGTTCAGACTGCTGTTGTGTGATGAGTCTGCTTCTAGTAAAAAAAGACACCATAGTGAACAGACTGTGTTGCCTATGGATTTGACCTGCACAGAAATACTCCTAAAAGAGTATGGAGATAACCAATTTTAAAAGAAAAAACAAGGAACAAATGGTTATCAGTAAAAAGTATTCATATAGTTATTCACACCTTGGGTAGAGGTGTGAAGTATTTCTAATATTCCAATTATTTTTACTATAACCTTGCAACATTAGCATTTTTAAAATGTTCTGTAGTGGTATTCTGAAGAATGCACCCAGAATGAGCATTGGCTCTTCCCCCCTCCTCAAATTAAAAATGGTTTCCTCAAAAAAAATCTGTGCTAAACTACTCCTAAGTTTCACAAAATATTACAGAAAGGAGCATAAAAACAAAGATCAGGCCAATTTGAAGGATCATAGCTCCCAATGGAACAGGTTCAATAGCAATGGCTAACAATTTTTTCAACACCTCTGTTATACAGTGAACCAGCAGACGAACCCGTGACCCTCAAAGAGGTTAAAAAGATAGTGACTTACTAGTTACAAAATTCTAGAACAAGATGATGGCCTGTGAAGGTATTCAGCCTAAAATAGAGGGGGGCTCTTACAAGTATACATTCACTTGAAGGGAGGGCACTGATTAAAAAGATAGTGACTTACTAGTTACAAAATTCTAGAACAAGATGATGGCCTGTGAAGGTATTCAGCCTAAAATAGAGGGGGGCTCTTACAAGTATACATACACTTGAAGGGAGGGCACTGAGAGGGCAGAGCCAGGCTCTTTCCAGAGGTGCCCTGTGACAGGACCAGAGCCAATGGGCACAAACTGAAACAGAGGTTCCCTCTGAACATTAGGAAACACTTATTTTCCCCCAGAAATGCAGGCTCATTGAAATCAGCTAAAAAGGAATTTAAAGGCTTTACCGCACATTCAGAACCTCCAGGAAGATATCCTCATTTTAACTGTACTTACAAGGAGGTACCAATCTAAGAACACCTGTTGCAACAATCTATGAACTACCCAATATGATCCAGCATCATCTAGGACATCAAACAGTACACATTGCCATATTTCACTGAATAGTTGTTAGTATTTTTGAACTCTAGTTCAGAAATGCTAACATCTAGCATCTAGTTTATGCCAACAACTGGAATGCTAAAACATAAAAACTTAAATAGAGCGTTACTTGGACATCTTTCATTCCAAGTAAGTTATTTTAAGACAACTAGTCTAAACTAGACTTATTCTTCCAGGTCACATAGGAGATCCTTTTCTGAAAGAAAAAGGAAGACTAACTTGGCCAGGTAATTGCTCTCTGGAAACAAGGTGAAGACAATCCTGACAAAATCAGACAAGACAACATTTCTATCTTTACGCCAAACAATTCTCCTGCAAACTGTCAGGGGAAACCAGGAGTGCTACTTGACAGCCAGCCTGCAGCCCAGGGCTCAGTAGGAGGAACAGGTCTTTCAGCTCTTCCTCCTTCACGAACTCCCAGAGCCACCTTTACTACAGTTTCAACAGGGAATGTCTTCAAACTCATAGACAGCTTACATATCCCAGTCCCACTGGAGGCTGACCTGCTCTCTCACAAAGCTTCTGGCAAGGAAATTCGACAAAAAATTAAAATCTCATTACAATGTTCAGCAAAGTAGACATGAAGTCACAACTGGCCATGGATAAAAGCCAGGAGGCCTCAGACCCAGCTAGAAGAGGCCACAGGTAAGAACACTGTGCCTCTATCACCTTCTCTTTGCCATTCAAATACAGAAGCTGTCCTACAGCAGGGTAAAAGCATTAATTTCTTCCCAAAACAGACCAGGGTTCCCATCAGATACAGCAAAACACCTTCCTTCTCTTGCTAAGAGAAAGAGGTATCACCTTGAGAAGTGTCAGGGAAACTATCCACTCATATTCCAATTCCAACAATGATGTCTGTGAAAGCACAAAATCTTGATTTACATATTTTTGCTTTTGGTACTCAGTACCCATTTAGAACTATGATCTATATTTATGCATCCCTTATTAATACCTTAAGGATAAGAACAATATCAACTTCCCTCATTAATCCCCACTAAAACTAGAGTCCACCTTTCAAGAACTCCACCATAGCAGGAACAGCAATAATTCCCTGTGGATGCTGGGATCTTTCAGCTATAGGAACCAGTTATACAAACCCAGTTGTCTACCAACTACTCAAGTCATCATCTGGATTTTTACTTGCCCAAGTGTGAACAGCTCAGATCAGTGGGGGATGCCCAAAATGCTAAGATTCTAATATCATCCAGGATATTGGTGACGTTTTGGTAAAATTCAGAGGGTTCTGCACTCTGCCCAAGTAAGCTAGAACAGCCTAGGAAGGCTGACCAGCATCAAACATGCAGAGGTTCAATGGGGGGAACAGCAATAGCAAGTTATCTATACCTGAATCAAAAGCCAAGAGTACAACTTAAGTACAACTTTTGGGAGTCTTCCTCACATGGAAATCCCTTGTTCACTTTGATTACTGTAAGATGTCAGAGTTCTGCCATGAAAAGTCACTCCTGCTGTTCTGCAGGCATTTTCTGTGCTGAACTTGTCTTGGAGAGGTCAGCTTTTTAGGAACATGTTAAGCAGCAGTGTTTCTTGTTCTGCCAGACACCACACAATCTTTTCAAAAACCAATACTTGTAAAGAAAAATGCTTTTATCATGCTCTTTCCTCATGGTATGTCAATTTTTCTAGGGCTAGTGAATTAGATGGTCTATCAGTTCACACACTTGGGAGACAGAAGACAAGGCCTGTGTTTATCCAAGAATTGTTCTGGGTTACTGAATGTGAGATGGAAAGCAACTGTTCTGTTTCCTGCTGTTGGCCAATAAAGTAAATAATCTATTTGCAACTGTACCTCTCCACCTGTGGCTTCTCCGGGCTCTAAAGATGGCCAACCCCACTCCCCATTCTATTAGAGAAGTCACCAGTGCCTTGTGTTTGTTAAAAAACAAGAAAAACACTGCTTTGCAGTGTATCTTGTAAACGTTACTGTTGAAACTGGTACTTCCAATTCCTCAAGAGTAAAACTGATGTAGCAGCAGTCCTTTGTGCAGGTGACATGCTCCAGGGGGCCACCACACAAGGACACTCCACACAGAGCTTCCAGTGAGAGAGACAAACATATTTGCATGGAGGAAAGAAATGCAGACATCTATCACTAGCTATTGCTACCAGCACATTTCATTTTTGAGTAAAAGGTGAAGGGCAAAGTTGTATCAGAACCTCAGTGTCCTTCACAAGCTCCCTTTAGGTGGACACCTCTGTGAGCTCCCCTTTATCTACATTTCACCAGCTGAGGGCAAAACTAGTGATGATCTTGCTCCATTGGCTACAGCAACTGATGGTACAACATGAACCAATGAAGAAACCAACTGCAAGAATCAGAAGTAGCAGGGTAGCATCACAGAACCTGGCCATGCTTCTGGATGTCTATGCTGACTAGAGAGGTGCCCAAATCTAGATTTGCCATTTTGCAGAATGTCATCATTCCTGTCTTCCGTGGAACAGTAGGAACTGTGGAATGAGAGCCTCAAGTTACAAAAAAAAAATTTATGATTTCATGTTTACCTAAATATTCCTATGGGATATTTAACGTTCTAGATTCCCAAGTTTTCGCTAGCGCTGCTTTGGTAAATAAAAATAATAATAGAAAAAAAAAGATCAGAAGCATAAAACGCTCCAGGAAAAAGAAAAACTTACAAAGCTTGTGCTCTGAAGAGCTATGACAGAGGTGCTGATGCCCTCACTGAGTGGTTTCTGCTGTCTGATAATCAAATCAGTATGTCCACCCAGCACACAGCTATTTGAAGAGGCTGCCTCGTGTCTCTGAACCAGGGTGATCCAGGTGCTGAGCCATCATGTTAGATCACACCAGTTTAGTGCAGGAATTTATCCAATTGAACAAACTGCAGCACCATGAGATACATAAAGGCTGCTTATGGTAACTTTACTGCAACTCATCAGTGCTGGCTTGCATTAGCATATTTGAAAAAGTCCCTAGGATTTTTTTATTCCATCCATCCAAAGATGGGAGGGAGGTATATTTTTTCAGCCATTAATTCCAGCACTTAAGTTTCCCAATCCAAGTTTTCCAATGAAGGTGCAAACCTCTGGAGAGAAAACTCAAATTCAAAAGCAAATTTTGGTGGTACTGAGGAATTCTTCAGTATTTGAGGGGTGAATGAGCCACAGGTATTGAATAAAGAATATTAAATATACACCTTCCTACCTCAGTATGGAGGACTTTCAGTTTAACCATTAAGGAATTTAAGACTAAGTTAACCCTAATCAGAGTGGAACAAACAACTAAGATGCTCCTTCTCTGACAAACTCCTGTCTGGATTTTAAAAGCACATTAAACACAAAAAAAACTGAAGGAAATTTTTTGGTATGTCCCAAGTTAGCCCTCTTCCACCAAATGGAAGCTGTTCCAGCCATAAGTGGTTTGTTTTCAGTTCCTTAAGGCACACTAAGATACAGTGGGCTTGTTTCACTGAACTTTTCCAGTTACTTATCACTGTGTCAAAGCAGGATAAAACAACCAGGACATAACATTAGTTGACTTTCTCCAGCATCAAAAACTGGATACAAACTCCTGATGTTCTTACACTAGAAAAATTGACTGGAAGATCCTACATAATCACAGTGGAAGGTACCAGCACAAATATCTGGACCAATTTAAAGGTTTCAGTCTAATGCGTGCAACAACCTCACCTGAAGTTCCTCTCAAAAATAATTTCAAAAGAAGCTTTGATGGAGGGAGGGCTAGAGGCCAGGTTAACTCGTGCCAGATACAACTAAACAATCATTTTGGTTTGTGCTGCAAGAACAGACTTTTTGCCTACAGTTTTATGCAAAACAGTAGTTTGGACAGTGACATGTGTCAAATCCATCTTCCCTGATAACCATCTGCTCATATGTGCACTGAGGAACTCACTGAAATATCACACAAAACAACAACTAAAAGCACAAAGAAATGCAGCCTCTTGATATCAATCCCAGCTTTAGAAAAGCACAATTGACTCAATTTTGTTGACAAAGCTTCATTTCAAATTCTCAAACCTGCAAGCCTGACTTCAAAGCCACGCACAAGGCTGCCTGAGCTAACTCAATGTGACAACCCCAAAAAGATCCCTTGGAGCACAGCAGTGCCATCCTTCTCAGGTATCGACCTCCCAGCAGCACAGATCCATATGGCAACCCACAGGGAAGCTCCCACTGAAGGGCAGAGGCTCAAGGCAACAGATCAGCTTCCTCCTCTGGCCAGCTGAGTTTCTTAACAGTACCCCCTCACCCCCCATAAAGGTGTTAATCTATTTCATACCACTTCCCCCACAAATTTGGGAGGGAAGCTCATAAGCCTTTCATGACAGATAAGAGAGCAGCTCCTGCTATGTGCTGCACATGGCCAGTCTCTCACCAGGCAGTGAGAAGCTTGCATGGTCAAGCACCCCAGCAAAAACAATTATAAGCTCAGCTAAGAAAGAATTTATTTTGTTTTCCAATAAACCCACTTTTTAAGATGTCTGAGATGAACAGATTAAAATGTATTTCGACATGTTCACCTGGAAATTGACCCTAAATGAACATGAGCACTCAGTGCTTTACTGTTACGCAAGTGCATTAGATTACATGCATACATCCATACATATATATACAGTTACACACGTATAGATGTATTTTAAGAAGGTGACATTTTGAAGAAGCCATCTATCTTTCACCATAACAGATTTACGTTCAGTTTGTGACCTAGTCCTTGGAAAAAATTCTGAAAGAAGACAGCTAAGTGTGCACTTTCGTGAGGTAAAACAAGGCAGCGGGACATGCTCCCCACATATAGAAAGGCAGCAGTCCTGATTCCTCCCACACCATTTATCCAATGTCAACTTTGGCTTTCATATCACCCTGTGAATCAATCTGAGTCTCTGAAAAGGCTGGAAAAGTATCCCAGCTAGGAGTATAGTTTTCTGCTGAAATAGAAAGAGTCTTACCAGCAACCCAGTTGGATGCTGCTGCTTCATTCCCTGGCACCATCAACAGTCCTTGTAGCACTGCAGTGAACCAGCCAGAGGGCTGACCCAGCCAAAAAGTAAACCCACAGAAAAGCTACCCTTTCAGCTGGATCAGTTCATCACACAGACACAAGTTAGAGACAGACTTAGGAATGCAGGCCAGGACATCATAGCACAAGGAAGCACGGCAGGCTTTCCACTGTTGCAGAAAATCACTGAGGGGGGGAAAAAAAGCAAGCTCCTTGCTCTTTCTTACAGAGGACTTCAACTTCCTTGAAAAGTGAGGTTTGGACTCTTCTGGAGTGACAGGCTACATCAGGCTTCAGTGGATCAAGAGGTTGAAATGTATCCCAACTCACAGCATTTTGTTTAAGTCTGAAAAACAATCTTTCCTCCAAAGCCACAGGAAGAGCTTAAATAAACATTTCTTCCTAAAAGCCTTCAACTTTGCTTAACCAGATACTCTCCAGCCAGTTGACTCATGGCTTGATTTCCTCTCTCCTACAACGCCGCCCTTCAAATTCCACCTTTTCCCATTTACTCTCAACTACCCCTCCTCATCCATCCTCAACATCTCCTGTCAGGGGAGCTATCACTTTCAGAGCCTATTAAGAAAGAGTTCATGGTACAGCAGTGTGTATCAGTCCCACTAAGAAGTGTTACTGCAACATATTACTTTTCAAGCCTCTTACAGCTCCAGTCTTGTGTCCCTCATATTACAGCTTGTACTGGCATTTAATTCTCTGCTGACTATTTCCATACTTTTAAGAAAACCACTAAAGCAAATTTCTTTCAATTTAGAGACTACTTGTTTTAGAGTTTGTTTTGAATTCATGCTGACATGCTGTCTCCTCCCTAGAATAAACATATAGCTTCACAGCCATATTGTCCCAAGAATAAGGAGAGCTCTGCTCCATGAAAACTTTGAGTTGAGCACTTCTGCTTTTAACAGCATCATGTGCTCTTCTGATTGCTCTTCTGATTGCTGCTGATGTTGCTTCAGGAGTAGCTGGCTTGGGCTGAACAATTTTCCCACTCCTGCACATGCAGATTTCCACCCTGTTAACCTAATCACTGTTCTGTTTGCTCACTACTCTTCTTTTGTGCAGTGGTCCAGATTAAGAACCCCACTGAACTGATGAAACAGCTCAGCTCCTGAAAACATGGTTAATTTTACAGATGGCCTCTTAAGCTGGATGGGCTGTAGCCAGACCTGGGCAAAGCTGCATGAGCTAAGTTCAGTAGAGTTGCTTGTTCAAGTTACATGAGAAAAGCCAGTACCATGAAACTTTTACCTGCACCATCAAGCAACAATCAGCCCACCACAATGGCAGGAGCCTTCAGCATAAAAGGCAGAAAAAGATAAGGGAGGAATGAGCAAAGTAAACTCAGTGGGAAGAAAATCAGGCACAAAAGCATTTATGCAATAGTAGCAGAGTGGTGCTCCATGATCTCCTGCTAGTTTCTACTCCAAAAGACAGTCCCTTAGATGATTTAGCTGTACCAGTTAGATGATTAAGAGCCCTGGAGGTCAAAAGCAGTAATTTAATTACTAACAGGCAAGCCCTTGTCTAGGACAGCCTGGAGAAATTCAGTGATGGTCTTTAAACTAGTAATTCCTTCCTTCTTGTCATTTTGGGGATGTGTAAAGCATTTCAGTATGGATACTGCTGAAGAGCTTTACAACCCAGTTTAAAACAAATCTTGGAAGATACTATGTTTTCCAGGATTCTGCCTGAAGCTGGAGTTTAAAGTTAGCCATCCAGCTCCAAAAACTATTTTTTTCTGTGCCAATGTAACAAGTTAACATCAGAAGCTGAAGGAAAATGTCAACGACTGATTACTATCTTTACCAACATAAACTATTATCATTCCACTGGTGCAAAGACTTAATGAGAGACTAATTAGTTGCTCTTGTCTCACAGAACAAGCTTAGTTCCTTCATTTTCTAGAAACAAGCAGCAAAGGGAGTACAATGAGCTCTGGGTTATTTTAATTATTATTTGTACCTTACACGTGCCAGGAAAGCCCATCCAATTCGGAAAGTAAGTTAACTCCCCATCTATTACATTCTACAGAAGTTTACTCAAAAAAGAAATAAAATCTTAGTAGTTAAAGCATACAGGGTTGAGTTTTGTAATATCCAAGTTAAATTTAGGACATGACACTAACAAAACTACATGGCAATAGGTGTGGAATGAAGCTTCCCACTATGGTCTCCCCATCCAAAGTCTCCCTATAGACAAAACTACTATTAATATAATATCAAACCTACCACTGGGTGTTACTCAGCAAAAGTAAGCATCTACATATCACTGCAGTTTAATTCCCTGTGAAAATTCCTTCTCTAGTTCGAAGCACTGTGCTGCCTTCTTTCCAGCCCTTGCCAGGTATTGATGTTTGTGCTATAAAACACAGCCGAGGTAGAGCACAGTAACAGGCAGAGTGTGCATCTGTGTGTGCAGAGCAGCTCTAGATCCTCTGCACATGCAGGTTAAGGAATTTCACACTAATCCAGCGGCTGATTATTATTTTGTATTTGGTGGCAACACTAAGACATAACAAGAGTCAAAGGTAGGCAGAGTGCTAGAAGCTATACAGGCAGGAAGATGCTCAAAGAAAGTCTCAGCCATAAAAACAAAACCAGATTTGGCACTGCCACACAAGATCTGAGCTTTCTTGAAACTTCACACTCAAGTGCATTTGTACAGAGCTTCATATATATTGTGATTTACATGACAGGATTATGCTGCAAGAATGCAAAACCCATATAACAGCACTTTATTTTCAGCTCCACCGCCACTTCTGTCAGAGATCTGAGAAAACAGAAGGGGTGAGAAGACTGACAGCAGAAGCAGAGAACTTTTTGCCTTGACACCTTGCCCTGTAACAGACAAGCTGGGTGGGAGAGGGGGGAGAAGAAGGAGGGGGAAATAAAGTGCTCAAGTTGGGAGTATCTTACTTGAATAGCCTGTCGTCCTTGCTGAGCATCTGCCAGGAGCTGAATGGTGAGAGTCCTGGAGTCCTGTAGGGCGTCTTGGAGGTAGATAAAGCTGTGACCCACATGTCGTCCCATGGTACATTCCCGACATATGGGGACAGAACAGGTATCACAGTAGAAATGCAGTACCTGGAAGAAGGAGGGGAAATATTCTCATTACATAAAGAAGAAATGAATAGAAAACAGAGCCAGGATGTGTTTAAAAAAAAAAAAACCAAACATTCCAAAAGCTCAACTATAAAAAAGATGGTTAGAGGCAGTAGCAATAGGCAAAGACTTCACAATAGTTTCTCCACAGAGGAAGAGCTATCCTTCCCAGTAAAGTCCAAACCATGCCCTAACAGTTAGATGGAAGTGTCATTGTTTTCTTTGCAATACAATACTAGGAAGAGTGTCCACATCAGCTCCTCTTAGGAGCGGAAGCCATCTGCCAACACTTACAGATTGGAGATGGCATCTATGGCAAGTTTCAGGTGAAGACTTTTCCTGCAAATACAAACACCAAATTCTCTTAAGAGGGCCATTCAATAATCAATACACTGGAGAGCATAACAGCAGCACACCCACCGCTCACAAGGGGAAAACCAACCATGCATGCCAAGAACCATCCTCTCTTTTCAAAATATGCAAATCCCTTATGTTCAGGACAGCAACAATATTGGGCAAAACTCCCCCCTGCCACTTCCATCAACAAAGCAAAAATCCTTTGCTATGACAGTGTTTTCTATGCCAGTGATGCTTCGAGATGCTTGAATTGGAAAACAAGACTGGAACTTTATCACACTCATCAGAGCGTTTGAATGCTACAGTGACCTGTGGGTAACCACTAAATCCCCATTCTGTTCACAAAGCACTCCCAAACCCTACATTCAAATCACAACTTAGACCAAGATGTTAGCCTAGAAAGCTCGATCCATTCATCAGCCGTAGCTGCTCCCATTCCATCCAGTAGAGGGAAGTAACACACAGAAATAGCAACTTCCATGGAAGCCTGCCTTCTCAGAGGGAAGCAGGAACTGGCTCTCTTAAGTTTCTTTCCAAAGATGCAAATGAAGGAGCACAACACTCCAACATAAGAAAATTCTGTATTCAAGTCTTGCTCTTAACTACACACACTATTTTTCTTAGACTGCAATAATAGAAAATCTGTATTACCATGGAAAAGTACCATGGCATGAGGTTTCACACTACAAACTTTTCCACCACCAGACATTTGAAGCCTACCTCACAGAAAGGAGCAAGAGCAGAACAAAGATGGGACAAGTGTTTGATATGCCTGTCTTCTCCCAGCTGTCATCCAGCCACTCCCGACTCCAGCTAACAGCTCCTGATATGGTGCATTACATCCCCTTTCCCCTCTCCCTCAATAGCAAGGGAAGGACAGGACAGGTGATTCCCCCCTTGGATTGCCTGGCCTGCATAAAGTGACAATTTAAGCTCCTATAAGCACAACAGCTGAAGTGGTATATGGATTAATTTCTCAAAGGGGTATGTGTGTGTTCATGTGCACATGTCAGATTTTACTAAAACCTGCCCTCTTTTTTTCTGAAATTAGGTTTTGCTGTAGGAAAACTGGAACAGACTTATGTTTGCTTCTGTTCAAACACTAAATCCTCAAGCAGTGTCTCAGATTCCCATTTTTCCAAGTAAAAAAAATGCCTTAGCTCTGAAATGCATTGTTCAAACACATCATCTTCCTCAACTAGAGGGATCCTTGTCCCTACACTGTGGTTGTCTAAATATGTATACAATGTTCACTTGCACATGAAGTTCTGTAATTTTTCTGTTGAAATTATAGGGAATGTTTATTACATGTTCCTGAATAACTCCACTTAAACAACAGAGAAGTTGAGAGAGAATGAAAACCATGACAAGGTATCAAGTTAAGTCATATGAATCTGATATACTTTAAAAACATACAGGAGGGATTTGGGGCCTCAGTCAAGCAGAGCAGCTGAAAAGAAAATGGTGACCATATGAGGAGAAGACCAGAAGCAAGTTAAATCTATTACTAGTCCAACACATCAGTCAATACCAGGAGCAAAAGCTCAGTCCTCTCCTGCTGCAAGGTAACAGCATCCACTGGGTAAAAGAGTCACCCACAGCTGTTCAAGCCAAAGAAAAAAACAAGCTTAAACTGTTCAGTTGCCTCTTGACACCCACCAAAATGTGGTGGGGAAACATCACTCCTGAATTTCGAATGAAGAGTGACAAGAAGCCATATCCTCATTCAGGAAACAGGCATATTACATAGGACATGGCAGGGGAAGGTCTTGGGTAAATAATATAGAGCCATTGATAAGGCCTTATTTATTTCTTAGTCAATCAAACAAATAAAACAAAAAAAAAGGTAAAAACAACACAGATTAAAAATGGAGGGCAAAAGAGTTAGCAAGCTGGGGCAAAATGAAGTAGATATGCTGGTCTGATCTCCATCACTACACTTTACCTTAATGCACAGAGAGGAAAATCACAAATGCACAATCCCTAGTGCTCTCTGTGGGGAGGGGAACTAGCCAGCCAGCCACCAGAAGAGCACTGAAGGAGTCAGCTTTAAGGTGAACTAGCAACTCTCCAGAAACTCCTTCCTGGGCACAAAGACTACAAGAGAAGCCCCAAACTTGGCAGAGGTGCAAGGGCAGGTCTCTTCCTGCAGCCAGTGTCACACACGCCTGTCAGGGGCACCCAGGAGGCTGCACAGCAGCTCTACCCAGCAAAGGGGGCACGCTCCCAGAGAATAAACCTGGGAAATCTCCGCCTGTGCAGGGCACAACAGTGAGGGGGGGTTGTGCCAGCTGGGCTGATGGGGCTTGGGCACAGCATCCAACTTGCCTGTGCTTGCAGCTACAGCCAGGAGTTTATTGTTAAGCTCAAGCCTGCTCACATCCCAGTCCCTAGGTCATGGCCACAAAGGTCACGTACTGCTAGATTAAGTTTCTATGCCTGGTTCTAAATAGAGGGGGGTGGGGGGAGCCAGAGCTCCCCTTTCCCCACCATCCCCCAAACAAGCAACTCCCTGGAAAAAAAAAAAAAAAAAGAGATAATATACCGAGGATAGGTGTAGGACAATGCACAGCTGTGTTCTCAGCTCAGAACTGCTGCACACACAGTGCACCCGAAGCACTGGCAGAGCCCCCCTTCTTCCAGCTCCAGCAATGTGAGACGGCCTCCCCACATCTCAGTTCATTGCAATGCTCCTTCCTGCACAAAACTCCTGCTCCTCTCAGGACAAAAAACCAGACTGGTCTTGAAGTGTGGATGGGCAGAAGTAGCAGGAGGGAAGAGTCAGACTAAGTCTTCCTTAGTGGACATCAGCTTACACTCAGTAAAAAAAAATTTACACACCACCTCAAAAAAAACCAAACCAAAAAACCAAAACAGTACCTATAGCAAAGTCCTAAAGATTTTTCCCCCTCCCTACCTGAAGAGGCAGAGATTATACAGCCAAAAGATCCATCAAGCTGTAAGTTAACTATTGGTCCTGTTAATTTCACTATTTACCCAAACATAGGAAAAACTGGTTTATAAGCAAACACCTTCAAACACTGTGGGTTTTTCCAAACCACATGAATGCTCTGATGGGCAGCAAGGAAAGAAGTATGAAAGCAGAGACAGATTTCTCCTTCCAAAGAAATTTATAATCTGTGTAAATTGCATTTAATGAATTGTTTCTTTCTGTAGTAATTATTAAGTAATTAGGTAAAAATACCATTTTAAAGATAAAAATTGGTGCCCTATAATACCCTATCCAGTAGGGGGAAAAAAGATTAATAAGCAAGTTTAGGAGCTCTTACTTCTTTTTTTAAACTGTTCTACTCAATTAATTAGTATTTTAGAATTTCCACCAGAATTAAGCGAAGAGAGAAATGAGAAGGACGAGGGGACTAGTTTTAGAGATAGTTAAAAGTGATTTATTTTAAAATAAATCAGCTATGGGTTGATTATTTCCCAAACAGGAAATATTTCCTGAATTGGTGGCATACAATTTTAGACACAAAACAATAAAGGGAGCCTACTTCAATTTAAACAGAATCAGTGAACCATGTTACAGGGCTATTCATCTTTTACAGCCACAGCAGCCCAAGAAATACAACAGCAAGGCCATAAATGTGATTGCTTCAGGAAAGGCTGTACAGTGCACCGTAAAAACATTTTACAACAGCAGGAATTCCTGGGTGTCGCTCTCCCCATTTTTTGGTCCATCTGCTTTCAAAGGGGGCAGGGGGATGGGCGGAGATGTTGTTAAACGTCCCCCGGGACTGCACAGCAATCAATCATCATCTGATGAATGGCCACTAAAGTTAAACCCTGACCCCACTCCACAATTCCCACACCAGCCCTCCTCTCCTTACTGCTGACCAGCTTCCAGCGTGCCCCCCCCCCACCTTCCAGCCCTCACCAAAATTTCCCAAATACCAAGGCCAGACAAAAGCAATGGAATGTAGTAGGCACCATGACAGAGGAGAATTCAGCAGAAACAGCATCTGAGGAGGCTTATCCTTACACTGTGTTTAAATAAATGTTCTTTCAGCAATACTCTCAGTGCCCTTCTCCTCCCAGCTTGCAAACACTTCACTTCTCTCATTTCCAGAGCACATGTGCGTGCAAATGGACAATAAAGCACGGGGAATCTAATCACGTTAAAATTTTGTTTTCTGTCATGACATTTCAGTATCTTGCAAGGATTTTATTTAAGCCTACAGCGTTAAGAATTTGTACAAAGCAGCAACACATAAGGCCACATAATTTTTAAAATGCAAGTCTGCTCTAAAAAGCTACCCTGTAATCTTAACCAACAATAAAAGAAGTCTACAGACAAAACAGTAGCCTCCTGGTTTCCACTTTTGGAAAAGTTTCAGTATGGTACTTGTAAGTTAACTTAGGCTGATTTTATGATTTTTAAAAATCTTACTACAGTCAGTTTAAAGTTTTCCACTACTAAAGGTGTTTTATTATCAAGTTCCCTTGACAGTACCTCAAACACCAGTGGCTTTGTTGGGTAGTGTGTAAGGCTTAGATGAGTTTAGTATAAAGCAATTTGCCAAGGAGTTTTGGTCTACTTCCTCAGCACTGTGGTGTTATTTTTTTCTTCTTTTTTTTTCTTTCCTCCCTCCCTGAAGAAAAAGCTG